TGAGCCTAAACCTGACTGGAATGAGCCTAAACCTAAACCTGACCGGACTGAGCCCAAACCTGACTGGACTGAGCCTAAACGTGACTGGACTGAGCCTAAACCTGACTGGAATGAGCCTAAACCTGACTGGACTGAGCCTAAACCTGACTGGAATGAGCCTAAACCTGACTGGACTGAGCCTAAACCTGACCGGACTGAGCCTAAAACTGACTGGACTGAGCCTAAACCTGACTGGAATGAGCCTAAACCTGATTGGACTGAGCCTAAAACTGACTGGACTGAGCCTAAACCTGACCGGACTGAGCCTAAACCTGACTGGACTGAGCCTAAACCTGACTGGAATGAGCCTAAACCTGACCGGACTGAGCCTAAACCTGACCGGACTGAGCCTAAACTCGACCGGACTGAGCCTAAACCTGACTGGAATGAGCCTAAACCTGACTGGACTGAGCCTAAACCTGACTGGACTGAGTCTAAACCTGACTGGAATGAGCCTAAACCCGACTGGACTGAGCCCAAACCTGACTGGACTGAACCCAAACCTGACTGGACTGAGCCTAAACCCGACTGGACTGAGCCCAAACCTAACTGGACTGAGCCCAAACCCAACCAGACCGAGCCTAAACCCGACCAGACCGAGCTTAAACTCGACCAGACCGAGCCCAAACCCGACCAGACCAATCCCAAACCCAACCAGACCCAGCCCAAACCCAACCAGACTGAGCCTAAACCCAACCAGACCGAGCTTAAACTCGACCAGACCGAGCTTAAACCCAACCAGACCGAGCTTAAACTCGACCAGACCGAGCTTAAACCCGACCGGACCGAGCCCAAACACCCCAAACCCAACCAGACCGAGCCCAAACCCAACCAGACCGAGCCCAAACCCAACCAGACCGAGCCTAAACACCCCAAACCCAACCAGACCCAGCCTAAACCCAACCAGACCGAGCCCAAACCCAACCAGACCGAGCCCAAACCCAACCAGACCGAGCCCAAACCCAACCAGACCGAGCCCAAATCCAACCAGACCAATCCCAAACCTGACCAGACCGAGCCTAAACACCCCAAACCTGACTGGACCGAGCCTAAACCCAACCACACCGAGCCCAAACCAGACCAGACCGAGCCCAAACCCAACCAGACCGAGCCTAAACCCGACCAGACCAAGCCCAAACCCAACCAGACTGAGCCTAAACCCAACCAGACCGAGCCTAAACCCAACCAGACCGAGCTTAAACTCGACCAGACCAAGCTTAAACCCGACCGGACCCAGCCCAAACACCCCAAACCCAACCAGACCGAGCCCAAACCCAACTAGACCGAGCCCAAACACCCCAAACCTGACTGGACCGAGCCTAAACCCAATCAGACCGAGCCCAAACCCAACCAGACCGAGCCCAAACCCAACCAGACCGAGCCCAAACCTGACTGGACCGAGCTTAAACTCGACCAGACCGAGCCCAAACCTGACCAGACCGAGCCCAAACACCCCAAACCTGACTGGACCGAGCCCAAACCTGACCAGACCGAGCCTAAACCCGACCAGACCGAGCCCAAACCCAACCAGACCGAGCTTAAACCCGACCAGACCGAGACCAAACACCCCAAACCTGACCAGACTGAGCCCAAACCCAACCAGACCGAGCCCAAACCCAACCAGACCGAGCCCAAACAC